GCACCACAGTAGCCCTACTTCTGATTCAAGAGCCCACCCAAACTGGAAGTAGCATGGCTGGCTCGGTGTCACACTATATACGCCCTAACAGACTGTACCTCTAGTACAGCATTAGTGTAACAGTACCCTAAGGCAGGGGTGCCAAACTTATCTCCTACCCCAGCTGGACCCAGATTACAGGGATCTTTGTGGGCTAGATCCAGCCCAAGGCACTGGGTGGCTCTGGCAGCAGCAACAATAGCTACCGCTCTGGCATGGAGCACACCGTGGCAACAGTTCTAGCAGGGGCACGGGAGCATGTGCAGGTAGTCCAGCTCATGGTTCCTAAGCACACACAGCATCCAAAATAGACACAATGGGCCTGTAAAGATAAGCTCGCTGTCTCTGGCATAGCTACTAATGTGTGCCTAGCACCACACATCTGTTTCAGGTTGTAGTGGACCTGGAGCGAGCAAGCAGTGCTTCATGGAACAGCTTCCTAGTACAGTTCTTCACACCCTAAATAACTCACCAATATGCACATACACCACTGATGTGTGCTGGATAGAATCAGAATAGCTCATCTGTGTGTCATGATCCCTAACCTGCAGATGCCTGAGGGAATTTTCTTCAGCTCAAGCACCAGAGAAGACTCTGCTTTTGGACCGCTCTACTCAGATGCTCACTGGGAAGTTCCAGGTGAGTCATGTTGTGGATCTACCATGAAGGCCTCAGTGAGCACAGTTTGGTGACCACATTACCCCAAAAATAAAGTAAGCCTGATTGAAAGAAGCCTTAAAAGCAAGAAGAAAATTAGGAATGTTTGACTGTGAAGCGTGGTGAATGGAAACCATTTCTCCAACAGGAGTAGCACCACCAATTTGTCCCACTATGTCACAGAGGCTCTTTCTGCCATTATAATTTCAGCTTCCTTTACAGAACTGGAGGAGGTAAGGAAGAACCTATTTGCACACTGCAAGAGAATCACTTGATACACAAACACCAGCTCACCAGTGTCCAAAGTACCTGTCTTCATAGACAGACAACTGTAGCAAAGCCCCTATCTCCTACACACACTGTAGTCTCACTAGCTCTGGTATACAAAATCATACGTGAATCCCTGAAGAGGGCTTAACTGAAGTGACGTCGTATGTCCATTCTCACCACTAGCTTATAATTCATATTATTCAAAAGTGGCTTCCAAAGCCAAAACTATAACGTGCAACAAAAGAAATATCAATCTGTACTCTATGGACCTCAGGAGAATGCAACTGTTTTGATAGAAAATTCAGCAGAAATGAAGAGGCAATTTTAGCAGTCAAATTGCTGGAGTTATGGCAGCTTGGCTGGTGCAACTTCAAAATTTAGGGCCAGATCCCACATTTATGAGAAGATTCTTATCGACTGCACTGGGAACAGAAATGAGCCCATAATAATACTAGCAGTTGGAAGATCATGGGGTAAATACATCTCTCCACAGCCCATGAATATTCAAAGGGGACTGTGAAAAAGGAGAATAAATTCTGCAGCAACTGTTCCTAAGAAAGAAAAGGGTTCATTTGAAGGATAATATACTATATCATGTCCGACAAGTGAATTTTTATTTTGCAATTCTGAAGACTGCAGTTCCAATCCAAGCCTATTTACACATAGGGATAGTTACAGTTCCAAAAGCACTTTCATACTAAATCTCTTTCTAGAGACTTATTACCTTCCCCTACAAAAAAAATTAATCTTTCGGCCTGAAATTGCACAAGCTCATTCTCCCATCCTAGAAATGAGAATTTTTTCAGAAAGCCTGAAAAAATCCATTCAATCATTTTTGTTTAGAAAGCATGGAAGGGAGAAAAAAGAAAGTTTAAAACTTTCACCACATGAAAAACAGAGATTTTTTTTTTTTTTTTTTTAACCAATTTAGGATTTTTTTTTTTAACAGTGGTTTGAATTACAAGTTTTCAGACTTGGTAGATACAGTTGTCTTTGAAGAACTGGTCAAGACAACACAGCTGCCATATGAATCATGGGCTAGCTATTCTTCTCAGTTACACTGGTATGCATCTGGAGCAAGAGCTTAATGCAAATCCCATGGAGATTCCCATTAACCAACTCACTTCAAGGAAGAGATGGAGATTTATAGCAGTGTAATTAAGAACAGAATCTGGTCCCTGTATTTAGACAAGTTTCCTTTTTTGCCTTTTCAGCGTTAGTAACATCATAAGTTATTAAAATAGACATCATGTTGAAAAAAAGTCCCCACTTGTGTCCCTTCTCTGCATTGCACAGAATTTAATAATTAGACAGTTTCACTTCATATTTATGGGGGTTTGCACTTAGCAGGTTCTGACAGAACAGGTTCAAAACAGGGCAGGAAGGTGTGGAATCCCACCAGCAACCTGCTTTCACCAAGGTAGGAAACCATTTCATGATAACACTTACATTCCTCTTAAGCTCCTGCTTTTAAGTGTAGTGATTTAAATTAGTTGAGAGTAGCTACAGCTCTGCCGCTGACTCACTATGACCACAGACCACTCAAACTCTCCCCTGATGCTGCCCTATTTTTAAAATGAATATTGCATAGTCATATCTACTTCACACAGGCATTGTGAGAATCAGTCAGTTATTATTGAGGACATGCTTAGCGATCCAAGGATGAAAGATACATTGTAAGCCACTGTACCTGGCTCCCTCTGTGCCTAACCCACAAAGACACCCGCCTGCTGCAAGGTCCAGCTCAGGAACCTAGCCCCAGTTCAGCCTTACCCTGCAAATCACTAAACATATCTGAATGTTACAGACATGTTTAAGTTCCACGGACTTAAATACGACTTAAACATATGCTCTCAATTTTCTTAAATCCTTTGCTGAGTACAGATGAATTTAAGGATATGCTTAAGTACTTCTCTGAATTGGGGCCTGCCTTCAGCTCTGGGATTCTGGTCCATACTGGCACTGTACTGTCACCACACAGCTTTTTTTGGACACTACTGTGCAGAAGCAACAAGCTGCTGCACAGTAGCTTGTTACTACTGCACAGTACCACTGCTGCACTGTTAGCACCCTACCCTGCAGTAGTCTCTCACATAGACTCGCCTACTGATGACCAAGGTGATGTTCATTACCCTAAAGCAAAGTTTTAGATTCACAGCATCTTAAGCCTTTAGTTATACATGAAGCACAGAGACATCTAAATTAAAGCAAGCATTCCCTTTCCCCTCCTCCTCCCCCCCCAAAAAAAATGCTTCTACGTCTTTAACAGGAAACATTAAGCTTGAGACTGATCTCATGGAAAGAAAGGGTTGGGACAGAAATCCTACCACCTTGGCACAGAGTTTGAAAGCAGGAAAATATAGCATGCTAATTTTATCTAGTCCTATAAAAGGCCTAGTGAGGTCACATGGAGAATTTAGAGTGCAGTTAGAGACCGCATATAAAAAGGAGAGATTACAGGAATGAGGTTGAAGCTGGTTACAAAGAGGACGGAGCTAGACTGTTCTCAGTGGTGGCAGACAACAAAACAATGAACAATGGGCTCAAGTTGCAGCAAGGGAAGTGGAGGTTAGACATAAGGAAAAACTTTCATGAGGAGGGTGGTGAAGCACTAGAACAGGTTACTTAGGGAGGTGGTGGACTCTCCATCCTAGGCGGGTGTCTTTGTCCGGGTTAGGTACAGAGGGAGCCATGTACCTTGCAAGGAAACATGGCTTACAATGTATCTTTCATCCTTGGATCACACAGCATGTCTTCAACAATAACAACTTGACTTCTAATGGCTCCCCCATTACACACACGAAAGCAGAGCCGAGCAAAAGCAGACCCTAGGCTGGACAGCGAGCCCTCCACACCACTGCCTAACTCATTCAAGACAGCAAAGGGGTGCCTCTTTAACCCACACATCTTAAGGCACCAGGCACGTTGCTATGAGCACTTTATATACACTGCCTGCACCCCCCCAGCTCTGGCATGAGCGGTCTGGCTTGCAAACATAGAATAATAAAAAAGGAGGGCTGGAAGGGACCTCAGGAGGTCACATCTAGTCCAAAAGCAGGACCAGCCCCAACTAGATCATCCCAGCCAAGGTTTTTTCTAGCAGGGTCTTAAAAACCTTAGCGATCCAAGGATGAAAGATACATTGTAAGCCATGTTTCCTTGCAAGGTACGTAGCTCCCTCTGTGCCTAACCCACACAAGGACACCTGCCTAGGACTGAGAGTCCACCACCTCCCTAGGTAACCTGTTCCAGTGCTTCACCACCCTCCTAGTGAGTAAGTTTTTCCTCATATCTAACCTCAACTTCCCTTGCTGCAACTTGAGCCTGTTGCTCCTCCTCCTGTCATCTGCCACCAGTGAAAACAGTCCAGCTCCATCCCCTCTGAGCCCCCCTTCAGGTAGTTGAAAGGCTTGTTATTAAATCCACCTCCTCCTGCCCAGAACAAACCCGTTCTCCCAAGTCCTTCCCCAGCCGCCAAGCCCACAGATTTCCGGGGGGAGGGATGAGCAGCCCCATCATCTCCAGCTGCCTGCCAGAGTCCTGTGCTGAGGGACAGATCACAGGGAAGCAGGTCTGGAAGGGACCTCACAAGGTCATCTAGTTCTGCCTCCAGCTCAAGGCAGGATCACCCCCGCCCAAACCATCCCAGCCAAGTGTCTGCCCCACCTGCTCCGCAAAACTTCCAAGGGTGGAGATGCGACAGCTTCTCCGGGCAGCCTGCCCCAGGGCTTGACCACGCCGCTCCTCAGACAGTGCCTCGTCCCCCAACTCCATTTCCCCCGCCGCAGCTTGAGGCCACTGCTCCTAGCCCTGCCCCCTGCAGCCACAGAGTTTCGCAGACAGAAAAGTCCCGGGAGGCAAGTGGGACGTGTGGTGGATGTCCTATGGGACAAGCCCCGCACTCGCCCCGAAAGTGCTGCAGAGGAGTTGGGAGCGCTCGGCAAGGGGAATGGGAGAGGGGCAGGGGGCGCGGAGTCTCCCAGCGCCTCCGGAGGGGCTGCATCTCCCTCCCCCGCCCGCACGCACCGCGTTACCTTCGGCGTCTGCCCTTGGGCTGCGGCTGCCTCCAACTTCCTGCGAGCCCCGAAAAAGAGGAGCAGCGCGGCGAGTCCCAGGATGCCCAGGAGCGACCAAGCCAGGCGCCGGCTCAGCCGCCTCATCCTCGGCCGGCCGCCCGGGCGGGAGAGCTGGGGAGCTAGCGGCGCGCTGCTGCCGCCCGAGCAGCCCCGGCCAGAGCCATGGCCCGCCGCCGCGCACCACAGCCGGC